AAATGAAAACACAGCCAGGACAACCTTCTTTTGAATGGCCTTACCACACAGTGCTCGTCTTTCTCTCTCTCACCCATTCTCCACTGCTGAGCACTCAACAAAAAGAGCAAGTGATGAGAAAAGCCAGGCCAACAGCCACAGCCCGGGGAAGAGCAGCCTTCACTACCCTTAAAACCAGCGCTTTCCTAAATGTTTCCATTGTGTTTGTGAGGTGACCCTGAGCCTTAAGTCAGAGGACAGTAATAAGGGAGTCCTCCCTCCAGTGTCAAGGGAGTCCTCCCTCCAGTGTCAAGGGAGTCCTCCCACCAGGGTCAAGGGAGTCCTCCCACCAGGGCCAAGGACAAACCAAGTTTTATCCCTGGTCCTGCTTTAGAGCTACAGCAATGTGAGGCGGCAATGATTCCATATGGCCACTAGAGGGCAGGGCAGGGCAGAGCATCAGCAGAACTCGGGCTTTCTTAGAGATGTTTGTTCAGGCAACTTTTTGACATCCTGGGGTTTGCTTTGTTTGTTTGTTTGTCTGTCTGTCTGTCTGTCTGTCTGTTTGTTTTTCCTGTCCTCTTAGCAAAAACAAAACAAAACAAAAACCCCCTTCTACAGGCAAGGTCTCTGAAAGCATGACTTCCTGTCTGTGTGGTCCCAGATTCTGCATCTCCACGGTGCCTGGAGGAGGTGTGAGAGGAAGCTGAGGCATGTGTCGGGGCAAGTCCAACAGTGTTGGGAGCGAGAGTGGCTGGTGGGTGGAGTATCTTGAGGTGGGCAACACCGAGTAGGAGGTTTGGGGCCCTTTCTCAGCGTCTTCACTTGTCACTGACAGCCTTCCGGTAACCACAGGCCTCTTTGAGAGTGCACACAGCATGTAAGATATGGAGCTAGGCCCCTCTTCTGCATCCAGTCTGCTGGAAACAGAAGGGAAGAGGAAGCGTTCTGGAATCACAAAGTGCAATCCAGGCTGTAGCTAGAGTTTTCTCCAGTCCTGCCTGGCCCACGGTCAGGACAAATCTCTGTCATCCGCCAGTCCCACATCTGCTCGGACCCAACCAAGTAAATACACAGAGACTTATATTACTTATAGACTGTATGGCTGTGACTCGCTTCTTGCTAACTGTTCTTATATCTTAAATCAACCCATTTCTATTCATCTGTAAGTTGCCACGTGGCTTGTGGCTTACCAGTATCTTAACATCTTCTCATGGTGGCTGGCAGTGTCTCTCTGCTTCAGCCTTCCACTTGCCAGAATTCTCTTCTCTGCTTGTCCTGCCTGTACTTCCTGCCTGGCTACTGGCCAATTAGCATTTTATTTATACAGAGCGATATCCACAGGCAGGCAGCAGAGTCTGGAAGTCCAGTGAACAGGTTTGCTAACACTGAGCAAACTGGTACGTTTTGGAGAATACAGATACCCATGGCTCACTGAATTCTCCAGATATAACCTTTGGAGAACAGACCAGCAAGAAATGTGCTCTCAGAGTCTTCTGGGGACAGCAGGAGTGAGGAAGAGGGTGGGGTAGTCCCTTCTCAGGTGGTGCTGGCAGCTCCAGGTGAGGAGCTGAACTCTCTGCTCTCAGGGTGTCTTAGTTTGCTTTCTATTGTTGCGATAAGGCACCGTGACCAAAAGCAACTTGGGGAGGAAAGGATTTATTTCAGCTTACAGTTTATAGTCCATCATGAAGGGAAGTCAGGGCAGGAACTCAATGCAGGAACCTGGAAGCCGGAACTGAAGCAGAGGCCATGGAGGAGTGCTGCTTACTGGCTTGCTCCCCGTGGCTTACTCAGCCTGCTTTCTTGTACCACTCAGGACCACCTGCCCAGGGATGGTACCATGCAGAGTGGGCAGAGCCCTCCCACATCCATCAGTAGTTAAGAAAATGCGCTATAGGTTTACTTATAGGTCAGTCTGATTGGGATATTTTCTCAGTTGAGGTTCCTTCTTCTCAAGCGACTCTAGCTTTTGTCAAGTTGACAAACACTAACCAGCACACAGGGGCCAAGCTCCTACTTAGGGGGGGGAGTGCGGGCTCCCAGGAGCTCAGATCACATGTGCCCTGCAGAGTCTGAGCAAAGGGGGAAAGGTGCACCCAGAATCCTTCCCTGGGTGGCTGTTAAGGCCAAACCACCTGCCGGCAGCTTTCTCATCAGCAGCCACCCCCTGACCAAGCTCAAGTTTCTTAAGGGACACGAGGCCCTAAGCTAAGAATCAACTCTGGGTAGGTCAGCGAGGGATAGGTGCAAGGAAGGACAGTACCAAAGGAAACCTTCAGGAGCCAGGCTGCCTCGGGAGGCTGGGGAAGGTTGTGTCTGAAGGAGGACCCCCCAACACACGCCCCCCACACACACACACA